TGCGTCATACAACACTAAAACACAGTAAACCCATTTTAAACCTATTTATATTTGACTCATTTTCAAGCTGAAAATCTATTGTTTTCAATTTCTTCTATTTTATATGAATAGGCATTTCTCAGCTGCCGCGTCATACAACACTAAAACACTAAACACATCAGGACAGAGAAGGCAGGTGATTATGAGAGCGGCAGATTTTCTATGCTAGTGAGATACTTTCACTTTTTCTACAGTCTTAGCGAAGAAAATCACCGGAAAAATTATGGAAACGTATATTTCTAATTTAGAGCTCTGCTAACTTTTGCTTAAGCATCGTCCCCGAGCATGCTGATTGTAATCTGGTATCATTAAAAGCCTAAGAATACATTGAAACAAAATCCATTTTGGCTGATTGTGTAGGTTTTGGGCGGTTGTATTGGCGGCGATCTTTGCAGTTATGACTTCGGGATTCACATCTTCGCTCACGTCAGGACTCCGATTCTGTCATTGCGTCGGGTATCTGCGACCAAACGTCAAACTATCGTGAGTCTGTGACTAAAAGCGGCCGGCCTGACTCAGGCTCTCCGAATGAAGATGACGCACTCGCTGATGGACTAGCAATTGCATCACCTGAGCTTGTGAAGGATTTCAGTCTCATCGAGAGGCACCAGTTCCTTCTGGGTGGCACGGGAAAATGGTAGTCTGGGGGAAATAAGGCCTTTGCTGTACCATACAGCAAATGATGTGACTCAGGGCTGAGACTAAACGAACTGACTGAGGCTAACGAGTCTCAAATGGACTTTCAGTAAACGGGCAAGCGCCGGATGAAGAAGATGTACTTACGCCGATCATACTTCCGTTCATAAGTACGATTTTTCATATTACACCATATACATCTGATATAACTGATTTATTGATGATCAAGAAACTCTGCTTATGAACGAAAAATAAGTAATGCTGTCGGTTGCTATAGCAAATACAACTCTGCTTCGTCAACAATCCCACCAAATTCACATCGGCCCTCTGACCCAAGAGCGCTCGTGGCAATGTGGCGCACTCTCATGGTTCGAATCCCGCTAGGGGTGTTCGAAGCGGCAACAGAAATTTCAGCTCCACGCATAGCATTGTGGGAAAACGCTGCGACTACCAGACCTTCATCACCCTAAACGAAATAGAATGACTACTTCTCTTACTTTGTTTGCGCACTACAGATGCCGACTAGTGTGTTCACTTCAGTCCGACAATTTTCTCTCTCCTCCGGGACATTTTTGGCATAATCACAACCGCAGGAGGCATCAAACTATGCTTTCTCGCCGCACCGCACCGCCCCTTCCTCCATCCTTTTTAGCACAGCTTTTCAGCTCGACACTTGCGCGCTTTAATGATGCGCCCAGGCCTGGTCCACTTTGCACCGCTCTGAGGCTGTGCGTCTGCCGTCTCTTTGGGCTGCTCGGGCCTCCCGTTGTGGCGCCCTCTCTGCCGCAAAACCCTTAGGCATTCGGCCTCAGGAACAGATGGCCATTCTGGTACCATCGTCTTTATCACCATTCTCTACAAGTGTCCATCCTGACCTGTCCTCCTCGCTCCCTTTGCCTCCTTCTCTCTCTCTCTCTCACACACACACACACTTGCATTACTTCCGCTCATGGTTAAGTGCCTCTTTGTTCTGATATGCATTCTGGCAAACAGGGGGAACCGGTACACCAAATGCTCTTGTGCAGACGCCACTTGTGTTCCCGACACTTTTTCAAGCATAAACTCCTTCCAGGTGGGAGTTCATTGGCCCCACTCACCTGCTCTCCTCTTCTACCCCCAATCTCTTCGGCCCTCATGCCCTCAAAGTCCCTCGGTGTATACCACCATTTCGGACATCTATCCATGTACAGGAGATATTTGTAGTCGCTTATCCCACCCCGGAGGACTGGCCTCGTTGCCAAGGTCGGTTGTCATGTGACGGCTGAGAAGACAGTGAAGTCTGTGGGGAAACTGGTGGTTTGGTAGCCTCGCGGCCATACTGTGTGATCGTCAAGTGGAGATGGTAAATGGTGAGTTTAAGGGGAATACGAGCAGCATCTTGGAGAGGACGCCTCAACAACCGTTTGACTGGAGGCATGCGTCCAAGACCCGACGAGACGGCGCATCGGTGAGACCACTTGACTTGAGCTGTTGCGCTGGAGACTTGCGTGTCTGTAGGGCACTTGTCTGGGGGGGCGGCCGCGGCGGTGACGGATGCGTCGGTGAGAAGAGGCTAATTTGTCCGATTGCGTAACGCCTGCCCCCCCTCTCGAGGTTTGTGTGTCCACGGTTCGTCTGTCGCACCGGCGGACCGGCTGAATGGGTAGGCGCGAGGGGCGGTCAAGAGGTCAGAAGAAGCGCGGTCTCCAGAGACGACGCGCTGGTCTGAGTCCCGGTCTGCGTAGACGACGCGACGCAGCAGGCGGCCTCGTGGGCCTGTCGTTGCCACAGTTGCCGGTAGCTCAGGCGCCGGTGGGCACAGCACGACCGACTTGTCAGTGCCGTCAATTGTGGACTCTTGGGGCTAAACAGCCTCGGCGCTCGGCACATTTGCTCGGGCCGTCGAGGCGTATGCAAGCCTGGCCTCGGCAGGCCGGCGCCGCAACGACGACCGTCGAGGGGGCTGGAATGGGCCAAGCTGTCCGGACCGGCCCACCATGCGGGCGCCAAGTGGGACTGCCTCACTTGCCTCTCTCGCCTCCCCTCATCCGGCCCCACTTGGACCAGGCCTGAGGTCACAGCGGACCTACGCAAGCCGGACACACCTAAAGACAAAATCCAGACGAACAATTATGCATACAGACATACGGGCATATAGGCATACATACAGACACACGGTGATACATACAAAGATACATACGAACATACGGGCAAGCAAACATACAAACGGACATACATAAATACAGACATACATGCATATATACAGATATACATATATAAAGACACACGGTAATACATACATACATACATACATACATACATACATACATACATACATACATACATACATACATACATAC